GCTACCTTAATTGTATATATTATATAAAGCTTGCAGGTACGGCATTTTTGACGTATGCCAGATGTTTGGGTTTAACTTCTTACTACTTTAACTTCTTATCATAAACATTAAATAAATATTATTAATATTAAATTTATAACTATAACATAATTTATTAAACTTTATTTAAAATAATTTTGAAAATTTCAATTATTGTTACTAATTATATTTTGTACATTTTTAACAGAAGTCGGTAACAATCTCCAGTTACTTGTGTAATATATTTTTATCAAACTCGAACGGAAGTTAACAAAAGTGCAGCATTGTATGTTCTTCAAAAATTGAGCACTCGCCTACTAAATGTACTATTTAATAATATATACAAGAATTATATAATAAAATATAATAATTAATAAAAAATAATGAAGAAAGTTAGTTTTGTGGAGAAAGTTTACACGAATAAATTAATAATATGAACTAAGTGATAATATGCAAATGAAATATTTTAGGTAATGATTTTTTGATCTAAGAATTGCGGACAATCGAAAGGTAGAGGACGTCCATTTATCTTTATTTTTCAGTTATCGGTTTTTGAACACCGATAAAATATATATTAATTATTAATTAATTACACATAATATTAATTATTAAACATAGTCAACTTCAAAAGTGTTACAATCAATTTATTTTGATGCCTTATATGTAGAACGATTTATCTGTCGGTGTAGAATAGGCTTCAGTCTCGATAACTACTTCTTGATTGATGGCTGATCGCTTTTCTTTTATCATTATTTTAAGGTGAATAAAGTATATTGCGGTCGCTGGCGGACAGATCCCGAAAATGCGGTGGATATAAAAGTAATAAATAACTATATATTAATTACTTTTATATCTATATAAACACAAATTTATACGATAATTAACTTATAATATTTTATATTAAGTTGTTATAATTTTTTTAATTTAATGAATTTCTATACTTTTAAAAAATATAGGAATTCATATACGATGCATACACATTAAATGCTTATTTAATGTATAAATATATGGAAGAAAGTAATTATTTTAAATATTGATATTTATTGATACTTTTTCAAACAGCAAGAATTTGGAGTTGAGATATATTTCAGATTCTTATTAACATAAATAATTAATAAGTTTGTACAACTCTATATTTATCAAATTAAAAAATATGGGTTTAAAATCGAAAAATCGGAACTAATGTATAAATAATCTTACTTATTAAATTACTTATATATTATTATATTATATATATTATATTATATATATATATTATTATATTATATTATTATATATATATTATTATATTATATATATATTATATATATTATTATTATATATATATATGTTATATATATATATATATATATATATATGTATATAACATATGTTATATATATTAAATATATGTATTATATATATTTCGTATGTACTATATTAAATTATTTATATACATTATTTATATATAAATATATCTTTATAATCGAATAAATTTGTATATTAATTAAATTATAATATATGAAGGTGTTATAATTTAATAAACTTAATTAATTTTATATATTCATGCAATTTTGTCATTATTGTCATCGATTTTTATCGACAAAAAAATACTTTCTTTGTCTTTATTTGATTCCTTTTTTTCTTTCAAATGTCATGTAATATATACAATTAATTGTTCTCTCTTTCTCAATGTAATAGATGGATTAAATTCTGTGCATATTCCAAAATACGGAGGCCAAATCCTTGCAAACTAATGTTTGCACTTATATTAACTTTGGCTAGTTTTTGCGGGTTGCTCCCAATTTCACTCTGTACTATAATAATGGATCCGTGTCTCATCGAATGTCATATACGGTATAAAATTTTTTTTTAATTGCGGTGAAACAGTTTGGATCAGCGCTTACAATAATCACATTGTTGTGTTTAGTTTACTGTAAGTAAAAAATGTACCTATTTTACACACGCCTTTCACATCAGAAAACGGGTATATACAGAGTATATCAAATCCCGTGACATTACAGTCACAACACGTTTTGGTATCTTTAAGGTGACAGCTTACTCTCTAAAGTTCACTTTACGGTCACTTAAAATAATTTAATGGAGGGTTTTGATGTTTTCTGGAGTAGTAAAACGGGCTTGAAACGTGTGTATATGGTCTTATTTGAACTATATATATTTCGTATTTATTGTTATTTGTCCACTCTACTTATATGTCAACCTAGGAATTTATTAAGTGACATAATGTTGTTTACTTGGTCTCAAATGACCTTGGTCTCACTCAACCTAATAGAGCTGAAAGGCACTTATTTTGAATAGTATAAAGTATACAATAAATATTATGTATATCTTATAATTTTAGATAAAACTCAATAGAATAAAAACGCACTAATTCTTAATAATATAGGTATTAAATTAATATTATGTATTGTTTTATATTTATAGTAGTTAAAATTAAAAGTGGAAGAACTAGTAAGTGTAATTAAATAATATGTCAGTATACTAGGAGCTGTGTCCTGCATTTAATAAATCATTATACCTGAATATATGTATAAAAATAAACAATTTAATTTTATTTAATGTACAAATGTATGTATAAATGTATAAAGCAAATTTAAAGTAAATTCAATAAAATAAATAACAATGAAATTAAGTTTTAGTGCATAATTTTATAAATAATTTTAAAGTTGTCAGTTATAGTTTAGAGCGCTCGGTAATCCTATAGCAATGCATTCAGTATATAAAGAGTAATAGTTCTATAATGTGTTATTACAGCGCTCTCTTATGCCAAAATATAAATAATTTAATACATAAGTAGGATATACAAAGAAAACAGAAAGAAATAATTATTCTACGATTATTTATTATTTAATATTACAAGTTACATGTAGCAATCTACTCAATAACATTGACTTTAATACGATTAACTAACTACACCTCCGATGAAACGAAGAATATTATACAACAATACGCGTAATAATTGTGATCAGATACTAGATACTACTGGTATTGTGAAACAACAAGTGCAAAATTATTCACATATCCCACATACGCTCGCTCGTATAAACTAGAGTACATAGTGTATTAGGGTATACCCAGATCCCACTAAATGAGTGTGTGTGTGAACAAATGTAGTAGTTACTTTATGATAAAAGTATCCGCGTACCAAAGGTAAATAGTTCCTGGTGTGTGCATTCGTGTTCTAGTAGTGCCAGAATACTTCCACAATAATTTGCAGTATAATTTATGAATTCAAAATACGGTAATAAATAACCAAATAAACACTTGCGAACTGTCATAAGCGAGGAATAATCGGAGGCAACGGAGGTGCCTTAACGATTTCGTAGTGGCCTGAACAGCACTCCGGGCTCTGGCTTTGGCTCTGGCTCTGACGTTGGCTTTGTACTATGTACTTTGTGTAATGCGGTTTGTGTACATTAAAGCGGTTAGGTTGGCTTGACTGGCTGCTTGAATTGTTATTTGGTCGGCCGCATGATTACATGGTCATAAGTTTGAATGAGCCCTTTAGCACACCAAAATGCTCGAATGAACGAATCAAGGAAATGTAGATGATGTGTCAGACTTTTGGGGGCTGCACTTGGCCACAGAATGTAGATTTTACTGAACTGCAATGCAATTATTTAAGATATGACCATCTTTTTGGTTGCTTTGTTGTGTATGAGTGCACATTCACACACTTACAGGTATGTGTTATTTAGAGTGCAATTGTTCATACCGCTGAGTGCTTAAGTGCAGTTTGCTGCTTTATACGTTGGTTGGCTGAACAAATGACCAAACTGACTGACTGGCTAGCTAAATAATGATAGTTTCGGACGCTGTTAACAAATACAAATAATAATGCAAACTCGTACGTAAGAACTTACATAAAAAGTACATAAAAATGGATATTACGGATGTTATGGAAAGGATACTCGAGCATGCGATCTGTATATAAGTGTAAAAATTGTACGTCCAATACGGTCTTTGTCTTTGTATATAAAAAATTATTGTATGAGCTCGGTAATTGCTCAACATTTTCACCTTACCATATACACTTTTTATTCATTTCTGTTTTATTTTGCGCTTTTTACCACAGTTTTTTATTCTCATTGTTCTTTTTTTTTTGCATGGCAGATGCTAGATGGCTAAGAAATTCATTGTTTCCGTTTTCCGGATAATTTCGAATAAAAAGTAAATCGTTTATAAACGCTTATCAAATGAATGCATTCCAATACAAATGCATTGGCAAAACCGCAGAAAGGTTGCAATTTTTGAAGATTAATTTCATAATTGTTTTACACTGGCAGACATTTCTCTCACTCCGTCCGCAACTACCAGCATACTGAGCTCAGGAGTGTGGCTGATAATTATTTAACAAATTGCAGATAAACCAGATATCGGTGTCAATATATCATACACATGTACATAATTAATTAAAAAAAGCAATTATTTCAATTCAATGCAGTTGCTTAAATATAAGTATGTGTTTCATATTAAATTATTGTCAATTTCGTAATTTAGACTTCAAAAACAACTAAATTTCAGTTTCAGTTTTGCGGTTCCTAAATTCAAAATTAAAGTCAAAATTCGGTTTAAAATCTATATTATCAGAAGACTATATTATTATATATAATAACTGGTCAACTAGAAATACATAATTTGATAATTTGAGTATGTTAAAATAATAATATTGGGAAGTAAAAATTTGCAATTAAGTTAATAAAAAGATATATAATCGATTCAAAAATTTTTAATAAATGAGATCAGTAAATTATGTAATGTTAAGAATATATTAAAATGATCTATTCAGTTTTGCGCCTTTGACTTGTAAACTTAAATCAGTTCGGTTTTGGGTTGTGTGATTTGAGTTATTTGTTGGGAAAGCAATGTAATAAATGATTTTAAATTTCACCGAAGGGTGTTTGCATTTTGAAGATTTTAATTTTTGCCTTCCGGATGCCGTAACGCAGCTTGCAGTCATTAGCCTCAATGACTGGCAACCATTATTCGTTGATTAGAAGTAGGTATGATTGGCTGTGTTTTTGCGGTTCTTCGGTCTTGAGAAACGACCAGTCTTCCATCTGGATTTCTAGATTTTGTAGCTTTAGCTGCTGCAGAATAAGGTCAGGTGGACCAAGGTGTTTGGGCAACCATACGCGCGCTCGAGGCCTCGATGGAATTTCCGCCGCAGAGACAATTTTGAGCTTTAAACCGTCCCAGTTCTCACTAATCTTAGTGATCGCCTTGCTAAGAAAACTTCGCGAATACTCGACGTCACATCTGATCACTCGGTGACCACGGAGGATATCTGCACAGTCAAAAGAAGGAATGGACCCCGGATTAGTCATGAGCTCAGCCATAACCAATTCGGACAGTTTGGTCTCAATCAGCTCCCACCTCTCCATCAGCAGCTTGCCGTTAGAGTTGTGTTCGTCGATCAAGGCCACACTGAGATGGTCTCTCGCCACTTCACTGAAGGGATAAGCAGCTTGTGCGGGTCTTGACATTAGCTTCGCATCCCCCGTTCCATCTTTGTGCCGTTTTGCCTCCATGCCCGGATCTTTCTGAGATCTGTCACGCTTGCCGCCATCTCCGACGTTCTTGCCGGTAATAGCGGAGTGGCACAGACCCTCATCATGAACATACTCCTCCACAATGGCGCGGTATTTAACAGCATCGGCTTCGTCTCGTTCATGGACATTGCCTTCTTTTTTATTGCTCTCAATTTTCCTGAGCATATAAAGCACCCGCTGGTATCGATTTTTTCATGCCATATTGGCCGTTTTTTTGCGTGATTTAGTATTTAGTATGCTGGCCGTTTTTTTTCGTGATTTATGGTAGTATTGCCCTTACTGCTAAGACTGGCAGTTTTAAGCGTTGGCATGCGGTTGGCAGTTGGTCTACTTTTACTGGTAGAGGAATGCTGTCGATTTTTTTGGATGTTATTCGGATTGGATTAGACTCCGGTGTACTGTGAGTGGTACAACCGGTATTGGAATCGGCAACGATCTCGTCGTCCGATTTCAGCAATTCGTCCTTCGTAAGATTGGTGGATTTATACTCTCCAGCCACGAGTTCCGAGACATTATCGGAAGAATTCATATCATACGCATAATCGTCCACCTAACCCGGTAAGACAGGCGCGGCGGACCCGAGGATAGTTGGACGAGGGAAGCGACCACCAGAGCAGCGTCCCATGCCATGGCTAGACCACACTTACTCCCCAAGGCGGTCATATATTGGAGAGGCACTCCCGAGTTAAGGGGGCCTTCAAACCATGATCGGAAAGCATTGAGTGGTGTGCAGTTTTTTTTTTTTTTTTTTTCAAAAGAAGGGTTGGGAAGTAGTCTCCGCGTCACTGCATCCTCGAGGATTATTGTGACATACCCACTTCAGTTCCATAGACGAGTAGCAGTTAAGAATGCCAGTATGTCCTTTGGAGAGATGTTGCCTAATTCCGTTATAAGCGGATAGGCAATGGATAAGTAGCGAAGTCTGAGTCTTGCAAGACTATCACAGTGACACAATATGTGTTCTGCTGTTTCCTCTTCTTCGTAACAAAGTCTACAGCTATCGTCTCCAGTAATACCTAGATTCAATAAATGTTTTTTAACTCCGCAGTGTCCAGTTAGAAAACCTGTGACAAGTCGGATGCCACTTCTGTTCAGCATAAGTAGCTCCCTAGTTCTGGCTTTTGATCGAAACGGCATGGATTCTTTTGCTTGTCTGCAGGTAATTGTATTATCCCAATCATTCTGAGTTGCTTTTTCCAACCATTCATTAGTTTTAAGTTTGAAAAAGCTCCACGAAGGACCGCAGAATGGTTGTGGCCCAATATAGTATGAGGCCGCCCCTTTTCTCGCTAGTTCATCTGCTTTTTCGTTTCCCTCAAAACCGCTGTGCCCTGGAATCCATATTAAGTGGACTCTGTTCTTTTCAGCAAGGTCTTTGAGAAGTAGAAGGCATTCCCACACTATTTTTGAGGTTACTCGAGGTGAGCGTAGTGCCAGGAGTGCCGATTTACTGTCAGAAAAGATATATATGTTTTTTCCCGTGACGGGTTTACCTTTATATACCCTGAGACATAATTCAATTGCGTGTACTTCAGCCTGAAAAACTGAGTTTTCTTTACTCATACTCGCAAATATTTCCTCTTTAGAGGAAATATGCAGTTATTAAAGAGCTAAGGACATTCACTCAATTCCTTCTGATCTTAGCTGAGCACCGTCCTGACAACATACAGGACGAGAAAACTGTGTGACCCATTTCCAGACGGCACCCTAGTGGAGGGTTCAGTAGAAGAATTTTTTGCCATCCAATTTAATAATAATAATGATAGAGTAAAACATACTATAAAGAGACATGCAAAGAACCTTTTAAAAAATATATATTTTAAAAATTATATGTAGTATAACAACACTGTTAGACGGAAAATAGTTATTGGTTGCTATCAACTAAGAAACTTTGGAAAGTTTGGGATGGAGTGAATACTATCAAATTTATCAAATAATGACAACTACGCTGAACACAGAGTAGAAAAGATGATAAGCGACTGTAGAAACACAGAATGATATTCTTTGATAAAGCTGCTTCAATAATTCGAAGTTATTTTACACGTAAAATACTATTAGTAACCATGTATAAAAATGAAAGCTAACTTAATTAATCAATGGTATAATTAACTGATAATTAAAATTAAAAATTAAAAATATGTAACGTTAACCTGAATATTAATTTATGATATTTTATTTAATATTAAGATCATATATCTATAAATATATCTTCTTCACGAAATGTAACTAGCATATGAACTTAGCCATATATCCAGTTCAATGAACTGTAAATGCAATAATTTTTGATTCGACTCATATCAAAAGATTCTTATGTAATTGAAAAAAAAACAATAATAATTGACACTGTGATGAATATTTTAAATAACAAAAATGACCAGTTTTAAGCTAATAATTTAGATTTTATCTTACAAAGGTATTATTTGGTTACCACAAAGTGATTTCAAAGTTTATTTTGGCAGTGAATCAGCCTTTTAACGTGCAATTCCATTCAAATTTTATATATTCCAGAGTCCAGAATTCGATTCGAAGTCACACTGCTCTCTCCTGTTACGTGGGCATTTGTTCATTCACGAACAATGGAAAATAATTACCAAGAGAAACAATTAATGAAATTATTAGGTAACCTTTTGAGGGACATACCCAGATGATTTCGCTTTAAGTATTTTGGGGTGTTCGAGTAAACAGAAAAGGGTATATTCACATATCAATTTTTCCACTGTGCTGTCTAAACCCATAATTACTCGGTAAAAAATATATTAAACGGTACCCATAACATATGTTTAAAAACAAAAATTAAATTTGAAATATTCTAAAGGTCAAATAAATTAAAATTTTAGGAAAACGTTTTAGTAAACTTAACGGCCGTAAAATATGATTTTTGTAATGCTTTGTTGAAGTCAAAATACTTTTGAAAATTAATTATATATTTTTTTTACATTTAAATATAAAAATCAATGCACATTCTTAACAAATACAATATTTATACATAAAAACTAAGCGTCAGAATCAGTCTTAAATACTTACTTAATTATTTCAGTATTGTAATAATTTCGTCGATTTTGACTGTCTTGAAAAAAACAAAGGATCCACTTAGAAAAAGCTTCGTAAATTTTTCATTACTCTAATAATAAATAATAATATCACAAAATAGAATAATTTTATCTAGAAAATTTGCATCATTTCCAATAATTGAAAAAATTACTTTTGACGTTAATTGGACCATTTACCAAATTTTAATCCTATATTCCTTATTTCAAAAATCACTGTGATCTAACCACTAACAAAAACTAGTGGCCATTATAGGTACATTGTTTCCAAAGTTTTGAATTTTAATGTTGTTAGAATTGACAAATGCAAGCCCGATCATAGCAACCTCATAGTATATCCGTTCCATTTAGAGCAGATGATATTCTATTTTTACCAGTCTTAAGAGATCTGATTTATGAATAATATCAATAGAATTAATATATTAATATTAAATAAAAGTTTTCTCACAATTATAATATTTTCAGTTAATATTTGTATTTATGAATCGATGAGTTATTTTAATCCGCAATTTGGCCTTACGTTGTCATACATACGGCTAAGGGCCCCTGCGTTTATGTACATTGTACATATTTAAATTTCAATTTTACTGGACTGTTCTGCTAATTTTATTTTACCTTTCCTTATAACCTGTTATTGCTTGCATGTGCTGTTAGATGTTGAGTTTCAGGAAGATAATTTTTATATTTCGGGAATAATTTTCAACTATTTTTTAATTCTCTATTACATAAGTATATATCAATAAAAACACAAATAATATATAATTCTATACTATGAAATAAAACTAAAAAATGTTTTGTTTTTACTGCTAACTCGTTCTCTCTAGTAGTTAACGGCCTTTCTTACTTTATTTCAAAAATTATACCAGACTCTGGAAAGACAGGCTAAGTAGTTTTACTCAATTTCAATTGTAAAATTTAATAGAGATATGTTAATAAAGATAATTATCTATTAACAGCAATACACATGGAACGATATATGGTATGTAGAGAAGCACCTAACAGAGTGCGGTTTAAGGGAATTGTTGCGGTTCTATATCCCACGGGGGGAAACGGATACTAACAAGAATACAGATAATTAACGTTAATTAGAGACGTTTATTAATAAAGTTTACAAAGATATGCAATCTTTTTATAAGATTAAAAATACTTTTTCTTATTTTTATGTATTTTATTTATGATATATATTATACGTCCATATAAAATATTTCATTGAATTTGTTTTCCTACAATGTATGAAAATTTTTCTATATAATAATTTTTGAAAATGCTTTTTCTGGTTTTGGTTCTAGACACATATTACCTGAAAAAAAATGACAAACTGATACTCTTTAATCAGTAATTCTTATCGTTAAGGTCTTTGATATGGGTTTTTATTTAAGTTTATGAAGTTTAACTAACTGCATGCTATAGACTTATCTTTTTTATTTAAGCGTCTTTGTTGGAAGATCAACTGAACAAATTACAAATTATACATCGTAAAAGAACCCTGACACCGTAATTTTTCTTCTACTGAGAAAAATATTAATAATGTTAAAAATATTATATATAATAATAATATAAAGTGTGTGGTTAACACTTTCAAAAAATAGAAAAACTAAAAATAACTATAAATACTTTGAATTGATCATATGTCGTAGAAATATTAAATTTTAATAGACTACTGAATAGTTCGTATTATTGCCACAAATGCTTGTGCGTTACCTGTTCGATTCGCTACCAGAAGTCTATACTTTTAGTTTTTGCTCCCAAGATTTTCCTCCTTTGTGTCCATAGTACATGGACTGTGACCATAGGTAGTGAACCAGTAGTGGACTGGTTCACTACTGTGAAGTCTTTAGTTAAATACATAAAATGAATAATTGATACCATTTTAAAGTAGTATGTCTAAAAGATTCGGACATGTATAGGACGCCTATTAGTATTATACATTTTACTCTTCCGATTCTTAGTTCGTAACTATCGTTTATTCCAAATGTAAAGAATAAATTTTTAGATTTCTTTTTCTTTGTCAAGAAGTACGGAGTTGTGAAAGTATCGCAATAAATCCAAAAATCAAGAGATCACTTCAACTTATAGCTTTCTACAATAAAGATGAAGTATATGGATAAAGAAAAGAATATTTCTTAGATATTGGAAAATAGTTATGCTTAGTTAAATCGCGTGGATGTCTATTGCGTGACGTTTTTGAACAAATAAGAACTTCCACTTCCACTTTATTAGGAAATTCAAAATTTGATAAAGATCGCTGCTGACATGGCACGTTGACAATTCATTTTATTTGTTTAACAACATTTAACGAGTGTTTGCAAACATTTTGATCGTATTTCTACAAATGCACGATACAAGATTACTTACGTCCAGCAAAGGGTTGTCGTTGCCAATACACAAAGACCTTATATCTGTTGTCCTGTTGTCATTATAAAACTATAAACCATCGGCACAGGTGGTCTAAGCAAATCGAACAATTTATGCAAAACGAATTCAATTAACACCTAAAATAAATGTTGGCCAACTTTACAATGACACGGAAATAAAAGCGAACAAATGTTTTCATCACCCTTGTTGCAAAGACAATATCCTGACGAAGAGCCTAATGCGAATTTCGCCTTTAATTTCTTATTGAGGTTTTTTCCTCATTTTGTATTCTTATGCGACTACTTGTATATGTCTTGTCCCCTAATCATGTAAAGCAATCATGTTCGTCATCGTCGCTGTCGACAGGTGAAACATTAAGGAAACGTTTCAAAGCGTTCGCCTGAATTCATCTTGTTTGCAATGGTTATGTCACTGGCAACGGCAGTAGCAGTTACCAGTCGCCTAGTTATTTATGAGACAAAATTTCGCAAATAATTGGATTGACTGATCAAAGATAGTACGCATGGGTAGACAACAAACCGAAAAAAACAATTTAATTCAATTAAATGGAAATTGCAATTCAATTCCTCAATTCAATTCGCATTTACTGACATTATTCATGTTTTTGCTTAACGAAAAATGTTTTCATTAATATTCCCAACTTAACATAATTTGATATCTTTATAGTAAACATGTCTTAAATAATATTTAAGATAATATTTTAATACTAAATTAGAACAAAAGAAATTACTCCTTTTTACAAAATATAGTACATACGCAGTATGTTCTAAATCATTAGTAATTGTTTTATTACAGAACAGAAATTAATTTAATTAAAAATCAAATTTTTGGATTACAAAATTTCTACAAATTCCTTTTTCTATTTGAAGTAGAGATGCACAAACTTTGATTGGAAATTCGACTGAGCATTATGAACAAATGATCTTTATGGATCTGTCGTTTAAGCAACTTTAGAATTCTTATCCCCTTTTCTATTTGAAGTAGAGATGTTATAATAGGATACACAAACTTTGATTGAAAATTCGACTGAGCATTATGAACAAATGATCTTTATGGATCTGTCGACTATGTACAAAACTCCTTCTTATTTACTAAAAAATTACAAAAATTGACACATTATTAAGTTTGAGTAACGCAAGTTAGGTATAGGTCGGTAGTGGTTAACAAGCGGGTTCACCGTTTAAATTTGACAGCCTATCACTTGCAGTCCAAATTTGTGTACGAACAATAGATATTTCCAAAGACCACTGTGTTTCAGCCAAATAATTCTTTTGATTAAAAATTAAATTTTGGGGTTAGTAAATATCGTTTTTTTTCAATTAGAATTTTACAACAATTGAAATTAAAAATTAATGTTACTTAAATTTTATTTTTGAATTGGAACATGACATTAATAGCTCTCCGAAAGAGAAAAAAAGTATGAAAAGTATTTATTAAAATAACGAAATAATAAAGCAATGTATTAATGCATTGATTACGATTTATTAAGAATATTTGGGTGATCAATTTAGAGCGTGATCTTCTCAAATACATATATAAAGATTAATGCTAAATGATTTTTATATATTTTTTTTCCGGCTATAGATCACTGTTTGCTAAATAATTCAACGTTTGTTTAATATTTTTTATTATATTCTATATTTCAATTCTCCTTGAGAGTAATCATCAGGATCATGATCAAACATAAATTAACATTTCAAAAAACTATATTTACGTTATCATCTTTATTCTATTGTCTGTATTGCACTCTGAACATAATAAAAAATATTAAACATACATTGAATTTTTTAAAAAAAATGGACCTATGCCGGATAAAAAAATATATAAAAACCATTATAAAAAAACAGGACGATAAATAAATTCAAAATTTTATAATTAATGCTATTTATTAATGTTTCACATTTAAAGAAATAAGAAATAAAATTTTTATATTTTTAAAATTTTAGGAAGCATCTATTTGTATATTAAAATCAAAATAAAGTTAGTATCCCATCAAATGGACTGTAAAATTCGAAATTTTAAAAACGAAACAATTCTCAAAAATACATCCAAAATTAGCTTTAATTCCATACAGTCTTGAACTATCCTAATTGGATTAAAACAACTCAGTGGATACTTTATGATGTCAATTTGTGAGCAACCAATTCAACTGGGTTGATAGAGCATTATAGTTGAAAGAAATCTTAGAGCCTACAACAACAACAAATCCGATGTGGAATTATCGATACAAGATAATCGCTCAATTGCGGTTTTAATCGCACCAAAAATTGTTAAATCAATACTCATGGGAAAATATATTAGTAAATATTTATAAATGTTTGTGTATATGCATCAGTTTATGCAATAAATTTGATTAAGAAATTGAAACATAATAATCGTCTTCATCATTTGATCTTTTAATTTGAAAAGGGTAAGGAGACATAAATATGATATAAAACTGACATAACTCAAGAATGTACACAAACAAATACGCGCAACGTCCGCACATACAGATCTACTACTTTTATCATGTGAAATAATTTTATTTGAACTTTTGATTTCGAATTCGTCTTGATCCGAATCAATACGCTGTGCACCTCTCCACTTATCGCATCTAAACCGCAAACACTGCCAATGTTCTTCGATGCGCCCATCCATTTATCGAAAAGCATAATTTTTATTTGACAATAATTTACGTTATTGAATTCGGCTTCGTTAAAGGCAATCTTCACATATCTGTAATGGCAATACTTGGATTTTTACATACGCGAATGTGTTTTCTCTAAGGCAACAATAACTATTAAATAGCGTAAAACGTCTTGATTATACGTAAAATGATGAACCAATCTGTTTATACAATTTGCGACGGAGCGTCCGGCCAACCGGCCGGCCACTTCCCTTCATATTCTTGTTTAAGATGTCTTCTGGGCTAATTGGATTATCTGTTCGTTTTATAAAAAGTTTGTTTGTCAATTAAATGCTGCTCACGCCTGTGCAGTGGAGTGGTGATCGAGCTAATGTGAATTGGAGGGCATAAAATATGAAATTGGCCTGAGTGAGCTTTATATTATGAATAACCTATGGATAGTTTTATAAGAAAGGAACAACTCACATCGAAACATGTAAAAATAGCAATTTATATGTAAATTTATTTGTTATGCCCACGACATGAACTGATATTGATAATGGCAAAATGTATAAATTGGTTTTACTGGTTTCAATATCCAATATGCAACCTAAATAATAGAAATATTAGTAATATTTCACACTGAATATGAATTGTACTTAGTAATAATTTGAGGAAATTGCATATCGGTAAAACTTAAATCAGATGTAACTTGTGACTGTGTGGTAACATTAAAATTTAAGACATGTAATACCAAGTCACGAAATAATGTACGATATTCAAAAATATCGAAATACTCCAATTTGGAAACAACTGGAAACAACCCATAATATTGAAATCAATATTGAAATCTTATTTTTATTTGCACTTAGAGTAGTGTAGCTAAAAGAGACATAGAATATAACTGTGGCGACCCAGTAGGCTATGGGTTTACTGAAATTAAATTTTACTTTTCATAATAGTCTTACCTCTGATTTGGGTCGGCACTTTGAGTCTGCTGTATTTCGGGAACTGACGAGATTGCTTGGAGTGAAGCATTTTCATACCACGGGTTATCACCCTCAAGCAAACAACATGATCGAGCATTTCCATAGGACATTGAAGGTGGTCATCCGGTGTCATTCCTCAAGCGATTGGACGCAGTCTCTTCCGCTTATGCTGTTGGGATTGCGAACGACACCGAAGCTAGATCTAAATGCTAGTCCTTTAGAGATGTTGTTTGGAAATCCTCTTTGTGTTCCGGGGCAGATGCTTTCGGATTTCAAGCAGAAGTCGCAGGAGACTGATTTCGTTTTGTCGTTGCGAAGGGCGTTAGCAAAGGTTAAATCCGTTGAATCAAGTAGGCACTGTCATCCCTCTGTGTATGTTCCGCGTGACGTTATTACTTGTAAGCACGTTTATTTTCGAGTGGATCGTGCGCGATCTCCACATATGCCATATGAAGGTCCATTTGAGGTGTTGAGACGTAATGAGAAAACGTCACTCATTGTTTGTCGCGGAAGAGTGGTGACGGTTTCGAATGACAAGTTGAAAGCGGCGTACTTGACTTGTGATGACCTTGGGCAGGTCGTTCCAGAAACGCGTCAGCTTACAGCGCTGCTGGATGATGATCAGCCAGTGATTGCTTGCGATCATGGGCGTGAATGCGTGTCGCCGATTTCGAAAGTGACGCGAGCTGGTAGTGGTTTTCCAGCAAGGTTAGCGGAATATCGAGAATAAGTCTGTGTGGTATCGACTCAGCTGTGATGTCGCGTTGTTGCTGATACTCCATCGCTAGGAGGGGGTACTGTGGCGACCCAGTAGGTTATGGGTTTACTGGGGGGTACTGTGGCGGCCCACTAGGCTATGGGTTTACTGAAATTAAAAAGTAAAATTCAATTTCAAATATTTTTAGTTTTTTAATTTAATTGAGGAAAACGTTTCCGATTTTACTCTTAAGAAAAGTAGAATAAAATAACACATCACTTAATATGTCGTCTGACTAACTAAGAAAAACAAATTATTTCTGCCCAAAATCGAATTTACTCATCAATCTAATCTTCTTCAAGGGCAATGCAATCATTCCAACGCTTCTCTAACTTCTCGGTGCCGTGTTTGTAGAAGGATTTGTCTTTTACCTCAAAATAGGCTTCAATTTCAGCAATTACTTCTTCATTTAAGATGCATTTCTTATCGGCGAGCATTTTTTTGAGAGCAGTGGTGGAACGGTGGATGAGAAAGCAATTCGAAGTGCAATTCGTGCAATTTTACCATTGTTTTTATTGACTTGTGACATGGTGCATTGTCCTGGTGAAACAACATATTTTTCTTCGCCATATACGGTCGTTTTTTCACAATTTCTGCTTCCAAACCATCAATTAATGCCGTGTAGTAGCTACTATTGATGGTTTTTCCCTTTTCGAGATAGTCAATGAATATTATACCATGTACACCCCAAAATACTGAAGCCATAACCTTCCCAGCTGACTGTTGTGCCTTTGGACGCTTCGGACGTGGTTCACCGGCTGCAGTCCACGATGATGATGATCGTTTTAATTCCGGAGTGAAGTGATGGATCCATTGTCACATATCGATCCAAAAATCTGATTTATTACGTGTAAACATGGCCAAACACTGCTCTGAATCATCAACACGTGGTTGTTTTTGATTATCTGTGAGTAAACGCGGCACCCACTTTGAAAAGAGTATTCTCATGGTCAAATTTTCATGCATAATTGTAAACACATTGCCTTCTGAAATATTTACAGTCTCACCTATTTCAAGCAATTTTAATTTACCATCAGATATAACCAATTTCTGAACTTTTTTGATGTTTTTTGGAGTAACCATCTCAATTGGACGACCAGAACGTTCCCCATCATCGGTGTCTGTACGACCACATTTAAATTCAGCAAACCAATAACAAATGGTTCTTTTCGATAGAGCAGAGTCCGGATAACATGAAATTGCTTTGAACTCATTGTTTTGAAAATAACAAAAATAGCTTCACTTTTTGACAGCCATTGTCACTTTTTTTTGACTAATCGAAATGTCATGAAATTTTACACATAGTGTTTTGAAGGTCATATGGATTTGACAATGTCAGCGCCATCTGTGTATCAGTAGTACGACTTATTATGATGAACCTTTTGCAAATCCCTCAGACAATCCGAAAGAGATAGTGAACAATCAGGAAAAGAAAAATGCAATACGACTAATAATTCAGATCGTGAAACGTTCGTAGTGTGCTATAATCTGGAACTTATTTAAAAACTTTGATTTACAAAATTAAAAAATCAAAATTAATATTGCATATATTGGAGTATATTTTAGAAAGTCTTTACTCACATCACGTTGTAATGTTAAGTAGCACTCAATGTTTTAGTAAATAAGATGCGTTTACTGGTGTGTACGCCCATATAGGCATTATGAATCAGAATTACAAATAAGACAACTCGAATGACACAAACAACATCACAAAAACTTCTGTACTCAACTCAACATTTTCATAACATTAAAGGGCATTCTTCTGTCAGATGCAATCCACTGAAATGTGCGGCGTTGCAATGTTCGACACACTGACACCTGTGATAGTCCAGTAACTTTATTAAAAGACTTTAGTTAAAAGCCGCTATTGTTTCGTATTACTTATGTCAAAAGATACTTTAAACTCCGAAATGAATATAATTTAATGTTTTTATTTACCATAAATGCGCAGATAAAGTAGAATGTGCGACGTAAAATAGGTTTTGGAGGAATTTCTATAAATAGACAATGAAAATATTCACATTTATTTTAATTTTAACATAAAATACTAAAAAATATCAAATCAAGTAAAGAAATTAACCTTGGTTTCATTTAATGATTAGATTTAATAAAGATTAAATTCGGAAAGAAAATGCATTTATCGAACTTAAAAAAACCAATACAATAGCTAAATATGATTTAGGCCTATATCTGTACTTTAAAAGATTGTGTTAATCAGCTCAAAGCGTTTTTGATTTAATAAGGGAAAGAGGAAAAGCAATACAGAAGTTTAGCTAACAATTGCAAAATGCATCGCAAATCACTATATATGCCACGTTTTGCCAAAAATATTCAATGGAAACTGTTAACAGCAATCACTTTAAATATTTCGTCTATTAGTTCACAATAACAACTATTGTCCAACCTCTCTATAACGAAGTCGTTGGTGCCTGCAAAAATCTTCGTTATAGAGAGGTCTTCGTTATAAAGAGGTTGAACAAAATTTTATTTGTTCGAATTTTTTTTTTGCATTTGACTAAGAAATATATACATTTTTATTTTAAAAATATATTTAATTCATATATACACATATATATGCATAAACATATGTTTATTCATATTTATATATATAACATTAAAAACATTAGTTGTATATTGGTAAGCCCATAATTTTAGTTTGTTTAGACATTTTTACTTTTTTCTTATTAAGGAAGTCTTCCAAATCTTCTAACAAGTTAATAGCTTGCATACAAAGAAGTTTCTCATAAGTTACAACGTATTAGTTGAGTGTTTAACTTGTATTTGAATAATTTCGTTATAGAGAGATTTTTTTTGTATGTAAAAATTTATTTGCGTACCTGAAAAAACTTCGTTATAGAAAGGAATTCGCTATAGAGAGGTTCGCTATAGAGAGGTTCAATTATATGAAAATCGCTGTGTCTTCAACAAAACTTCGTTATAGAGAGGAATTCATTATAGGGAGGTTCGCTATAAAGAGGTTTGACTGTACTTAATACAAAAAGTCTGTTTCAAAAATAAAATGCTTTCATTGCGACTTATTTTTTCTTTCCAGAAATAAGTTGCATATAGTGCGTTTTATTTTTCCTTAAAGAAATAACTGTTATTTTTAAGTTTTTCATTTCTAATGCTAGAATAAGTGTATTCGGCAGTTCTGAAGTGTGACAAAAAACAACAATAAGCTTGCTAAAGTGTCTAAGTAACATATAAGCATTACTGTTGCAATCTGTCAAATACTATGTTTTCGCAAAGAGCTGATTTTACATATTTGCATATAATGCAAGCAAACTACATTTTGTATAAAAATAAATAATTAATATAAATTTGAAAATTAAAATGTGAAATGAACTAAAAGCAATGCACAGAATGTAGGACGTTTTGAAATTTCTTTTTACAACAAAATTAATAATACTTTAAAATATTTATTATTTAGAATAAGTTTAAACTTGTTAGCAACTAATAAGTTTATAAAATTAAAGCGCTTTTCAATTATACTTTCTGCATGTACTCCTAAAAATGTTTGTATAGTTTCAAAATGTTTCTTTTCCCCATTATTGCATATTATTAAAACATTTTATTTCTACAATTTTTAAAAACTGAAACCTTTTAATTTTGTTTGAAATACAAACTATTTACCGATGACTGTTATATTCCTTGAAATTTCCAATCAATGTTTATAATAGGTATATTGCTTCATATTGCTACTTCATAACTAGTCGTTTAAGTAGAGAAAGTAGTATTGTTGTTTTGCATACAAATTAGCGACTTTAAGCATTGAGTAAAAATATTATAGAGTCACAATGCCATAGAAATTAATTTTTGTTCCGGCAGAGATTTGAGTGATTTGGGTACCCAGTAGTAGATACCTAGAACAAAAATTAATTTCTATGGCATTGTGACTCTATAATATTTTTACTCAATGCTTTAAGTAAGCGACTTGTTGTTTTTTGCCATCATTCGGAGCGGCCGAATACACCTAATATTAATTATATTTGCATTTTAAAATAAGAGTCTGAACATACTAGATTTTGTGCATGAAAAAGTAAATTGCCAATTCATGATGATATAAGGTAAACATGATATAAGGTAAAATTAACTACTATTTTTTGAATCACATTTTAAAAGACAAATAATAATATTACTGATTTTGTTTCAATTAATAACTGTTATGATCTCAGGCTAACAAGGATATCATTCGAAAAATAATTTGCGAAAATATTTAAGTTTGACTTTTTTTGGGAAATAATTTGTTAAGAATCTTAGGAAGCAACCTAATAATTATAAAAAAAGACAAGATTTTACCGATGTCCAAAAAAATACACTTCTAAGTTAATTTCCAATTTCAATAATTAAGGAGGATTCGATCCTCTATCCACTTCACCTACCTACCAACCCAGAACAATCTAAATTTTTACTGACTAACTTTTTTTGAGAGATAGAAAAATTTGATAGCAAAAGAGGACAATCAAAGAGGACGTTTTGTGATTGTACAATATTATACGAATCACTATAAGATATCTATATTAAAAAATTTATTTGTAGCCAACGCCGGTAGCACCACAGTAATTCGATAAATCCTTATGAAAAATCTAACAAAGTTTAAAAGATAGTTTGTTTTAGAAAAAAGAAAGGTTTATGAAATGTTCCTAGAATAATTATACAATTTTTATATAAACAACAAGTGTTGACAATTTTATTTATAATTTGGTTTAAATTGAAATCATATCAGCTTAGAAGTTTTTAAAATGGTTTCATGTTTCACTTTCATACCCCTCGAATTCTGGGCCACAAGCAGAAACAAGTATGCCAATTTTTTAAATTTATTTCATAATATATTCTGGCTGATCTCCTTTGGACATGTTGTTGGAGCTTATCTTACTTAATTTAAATATTAAAATCTAAATAAAAATATGTTGTAAATTAAGATGTACAACGGTCGGTTGACTTGTTCAGAGGTTTAGGTTATCGCGCTTTCA